TTCCACAATTTAAAGAATGTTATCAGTGTCACTGAATCATACATGCAGAAGTGTTTGGATTGATGTGTTTGGCTGTGTTCCCAACAATAAGAACATAGATTTTTGGTCTCTGTACAGGTTCCTTATGAGCACTTAATTAAGTGTTGTAGAACCAGCCATTGTCTGCAGTGTTAGCCAGAGGTTGTCATGAGCCATACAATTGAAAGCTTTTGTGTAGTCAGTAAAACACAGCTAGACTTCTGGTATTCTCTGCCAAGAGCCATCTGTTGTCAGAAAAGGTGCCCAGTTTCTGATGATCAGTTGTGGGGTTGTTAAGTGCCTGCCGTCGAGTCGGTTCCAACTCACAGCGACCCTGTATAGGGTTTCCGAGGAGTGGCTGGTGAGTTTGAACAGCCGACCTTGCAGTTCAAGCCTAGCTTGAGGTGGAATGCTTATCTTATGGTGCCACACCAGGACTACTACACAATTGTTGTTGCTAAGTGCTGTAGAGTTGGGTTCCGAACCACAGTGACACTGTATAGGGTTTCCAAGGAACAGCTGGTGAACTTGAACCACAGGCCTCCTGGTTCAAAGTGGACTTTGCTGTCCAGTGCATTCACCTTTAAAGGCTGGTGGGGGAACATCAGGAACTTACATAGGTTATCGGTGTGAAACAATGTTAAGTGCCGTCGAGTCCATTCCGACCCATAGTGACCCTGTATAGGGTTTCTAAGGAGCAGCTGGTGAGCTTGAACCACCAACCTTGCAGTTCAAATGACTTTGCAGTCTGACGCCTTAGCCCACAGTGCCACACCAGGATGATCTGTCTGTCCTTGTATTGAGTTCATGTTGTCCTGATGACGTACTTCTCCCCCTCAGATGTATATTACAAACTTTGAGGACATCCACAGTAGAACGTAATGCCAGTTCAAGAGCTTCCACGTGGACAATTCAGTGGCACTGATGACATCCTTCAGTCATGCTATCATTCCCAGCCTCCTGGTCCAAAGTCTTCCACCCAATTAATGTAAACTCACTGCTCCCTAAGGTTCCTATCCAATCTGTCTAGTTACTGTTGATTTGATTTCATACTGTCAAGCACAGTGAAGTTGGTTTCATACAGAGTGACCCTGTATGAGGTTTCCAAGGTTTAAATCTTTTACGTTTTTATTGTGAGGTTTACATGGGAGAACATCAACTTTACACTCATCCTATCGTATTTTGTTTCATTGCAATGATTACAGTCCCCTCCATGCATCACCAAATAATCAAAGGGTGAACCCCACAGGCCCGCCCCCTGGCCACCAGCACACAGCCCTTCTCCTTCCCTGAGTCCAGTGTCCCCAGCTGCTCCATCTGTCCACGTCATCATCACTGCCTCTCGGGGTAGGATCCTGCTTTCCATTCTTCTCACTTGATGGTCCCAGAGACCTCGGCTCCTGGGCTGCAATATCATTCTCCTCCTTTTGTCAAAAAACATCTACCACTATTTTCTACCCTGACAATTATTCACTATTGTACCACAAGAGTCTTATCCCCATATTTCCTTTCGCCAGCCTGGTCCCAACCAATTGGAAATCATTCAGTGCTGATTCTACATTCCGCCGCCCCGTCTGGAACTAGGCTCCCTCTTGAAAGTTTGTAAGCCAGGCACTTCTTGCCTTTATAGGCCTCCTTAGTTTGGGTAGCCAATGTGTATGTTGCCCATCCCTGTGACCCCTGCATACCGAGGGGGTGGGAGTGATCCTCGCTGTAAAGATTTGATCCTTTTGAGCTGCTACATCATAAGTATAGGTCAACTTCATCAGATTGGAGCAGGTTAGCAGAAAGCCTCTTCTTCCATGGAGCAGCTGGTGGGCTTGAATTCCCACCTTGTGGCTAGCAGGCCAGTGCTTATCCTATGGAGCTACCATCCTCCCTTGATTTCACATAGATCATTCTTAAAAAGAGTGTAACGCTCAAGGCAGACACTTAGTAGTTAAGCTAAATGATTTGGTTTTTAAAAGTTATCAGGGGTATTTTTGGTTTAAATTTTAAAGATTATCCCACGGTAGTTTCAGGGGTTCATGCAGCCTCCATGATTTAACATGTAATTTATAAACTGTAAAATTGAACATACCCACTAGTAGGCTGCAATGAAAAAGGACAATAATGCTGGCAAAGATGGGACGTTGGAACGCACATAGAGCCAGATTTGGAAAAGAGTTTTGCAAGTTCTCCAAAAAGTTATGCTGTTTAGATATACCACTGAGTCAGTTCTGACTCCCAGAGGCCTTATGGCACAACACAGCACGACACAACGCCACCCGGTGCAGCTGCCACTGTGCCAATCCCTCTCATTGGGGTCTTCCTCTCTTTGCTGACCTACTGTACCAAGCACGATGTCCTTTGCCATGGACTGGTCCTTCCTGATATGTCTAAAGTATGAGGAATAGGCTCCCCCATCCTAGCTTTAGGGTGCGTTCTGGCTATACTCCTGCTTTATAGACAGATTTGCTTATTCTTCTAGCTGTCCATGGTACTTCGAATATTCTCCAATACTGTAACTCAAATTCCAAGGCATCAATTCTCCTACAGTCTTCCTCAGTCACTGTCTAACTCTCACATATATTATGAGGCTATTAAAGAATTCTGTAACTTGGGTCAGGCACACCTTAGTCCTCAAACTGGTATCTTTACTCTTTAACACTTTCAAGAGGTCTTGTGAAGATTTGCCTAATTAATGTCGTTTGACATTATATACATGTTGCTTCCATGGGTGTTCAGATAGTGGATCGAAGGCCAAATGGCCCAGCAATTCCATGCCTAGGTCTATATCCAAGAAAATGGAAACTTATGTTCATGCAAAAATATGTACCTGAGTGTTTATAAGCATTTTTCATAGTAGCATCAAAGTAGAAACAATTAAATGTCCATACACTGAAGAGACCCACTTCTTAAGGCACAGAAAAGTGAAGTTACTCCTTCACTGTAATATGCGTGTTTCTCTACTATGTTGAGCAGATTCTCAATTTAGGATATCTGCTCTTGGTCAGCTTCATAAAATGAATTCGTTGATATCTCACGGAAGTTCAAAGTTCGTATTCTACACCTCATTTCCAACCTTGATGTTTTCAGACTTAAATTTTCTTTTACATCCTGGGAATGTAAATAGGGGCCCCAGATCTTGTGTGTGCAAATATCTAAAACACACACCTCCCATCTTGTATCTCCTTGGCATCAGTAACATTGGAGAACCAGAGACAAGCAGGAGCAACAACAAATACGCAGTTACTCCAGAGACACCATCTTCTGACTTGGATTCCTTGAGCTCGCAACACACAGCATTCTTTTGTTTATAATCTCATCTCCCTCTACCTGGCCTTCCCAAGGTTTTATTTTTTAATTACTTTTACACCACCATCCAGGTAACAACCTGGGCTATTTCCCCCATTTTAAGATTTTAATCACACCTGCAAAAGCCACTTTCCAATATAAGGCAACACTCACATGCTTCCAGGGATTATAAAGCCTGGATATGTTTGGGGGCCATTATTCAGCCCACCAGACTAGCTATTGGACAATTTATAAGCATCAGTATTTTCTCACACGTAAAAGCCATGGTTTGATCTACCCTCATTGAGTTAATTCGAAGAGTTAGTGTAAAAGCAGATGTATACAGGAATGAATAAGGAAGACCACAGAATTAGTGCATTTGAAGTATGGTGTTGGTGAACAACACTGACTGTATCACAGACTGACATTAATCAACAAGTCTTGGGAGTCCAGCCAGAACACTCCTTAGAAGCCAAGAGGGAAAGACTTCATCTTACTTTGGATGCGTTATCAGGAAGAACCAATCCATGGTGAAAGGACATTATGCTTGGCAAAGTAGCAAGTTAAAAAACAAAATGAAACACAAAAGACCCTTCACAGGATGGAGCCACTACAGTGGCTGTAACAATGAGCTCAGACGCTGCAGTGAGGATGAGGTCGGTGCAGGAGTAAGCAGTGTTCTGTTCTGTTGTATGTAGGGTCACTGGAGTCAGTAGGCTCAAGGGTACCTTACAACATGTACACGGAGCAAGGAGATGCAGGCCCGTGTGTTCGTCAAGCATTGTCATCGATGATGCACATTGTTGTTGAATGCCTTCGAGTCACTTCGGACTCAGTGATCCTATATCGGCTTTCTGAGGAGTGACTGGTGCTTTTGAACCAATGTGACCTGACCTTTGGTTAACAGTTCACTGCTTATCCAACACATCACACCAGGACCTCAGTGCTAAATGACAATTCTCATTATTTTAAGGAGTTTTGGGGTTCTATATGTCAAAGGGAATGTTGAAGCTCAGATAGACAAGTATGCATACCATGAAATGGTAATTTCTTTGTAAGTTAGAGCCATTGAAAACAGGTCAAACAATGGCATGGCTGAATATGTGCACCTACGTGTTCAAAATATTGTGTGGTGGGAAAGGAAAACAGGAACGGGCTTCAGAAAGTGAGTGGACTTCTGGTGTGGCGCTGTCGGATCAGCACTGGACTGTGAGCCATAAGGTCAGCGGCTCGTCTGAAACCCTATACACAGGGTTGCCATGAGTCAGAATGGACTCTACGGCACTTAAGGAATACTCATCATGGTATAGACTTGAGGTCAAGAAAAATCAGAACCGCACAGTGAATGGCAAGGCAAATTCATCAGTGAGATCAGGTTTTTTTTATCACTTTTCTTGGATGAACTACTCTAAGACTAGTGGGAGGGTTTCCCCGCCCCCAAGTTGGCAGAACTCAGTTAAGTACAGCTTCATTTATGAATGCATTCACCTTTATTTCTTTTGATCTACTTGTGATTAAGACATTTCACATATACCAGGGTTAAATGGTTTGTTCATACACGTTTCATGGAAGCTTGAGACAGAATCAAAGCTAAGATACCATGTGTCACCACCTTCTAAGAAGGACTCGCAGGAAATTCACCATCACCGCTGTGGGAGGAATGACTGTGTGTGTGTGTGTGTGTGTGTGTGTGTGTGTGTGTGGGGTTACATAAGAAAGTCAAGAGAAGAAGGTCTCTGTTTACCGGGATCATAGTCGTCACTCTCAATAGTTAGTTGTGGATTACTTTCTTTGACTTCTTGCATTAGCTTTTGCATTTGCATGTTAGAGCTGTCTATCTTTAACCTGGGGGACAAAGAAAAATTACATTCGATCTGATTTTGCTGCTTCAAGAAGACTTCTTCCAACCCTTCATATGCTTAATCTTGGATGTCCCAGAGTAGGGGCCATCTTTCTGTTAGTATGCATTGCTACAGAGTCAAGTTTCACAGTGATTTGATGATCGGTAAAGGATCATTTCCACTTAATGCTAGAATACTATAAAGTTGCTATGTGATTACTATATTTTCAGTGAGACTGAATGATCAATCTACGTCTGACAATTCTAATACCTGCCTAGACTGTAATAGGACAACTTCTATGTATGCGGTGGACTAGGAGTAACTGAGGAGACTAGAACCACTCAGGCTGTACCAGTTACTCCTTGGATACGAGATACTATACCTAGTCACCACCGTTTAAAAAACCTGAGACAACAGAAACATCACTACTAGGATTTACCTTGCAACCATATTGAGGACTATCTAGGAGGTACAAGCAGTTAACCCACTTGACTGCTAACTGAAATTTGGAGGTTCTTGTCTACCCAGAGGTACCTCCAAAAAAGGTCAAGATCTACTTCCAAAAAAAGTGTGTCATTTAAAACATTATGTAGAACAATTTTTAAATCAGGGAGTAAGAGGCTTCCAAGTTTATACGGCTACAGTGGTACCGGTACAATGGGAAATCAATGAACAGAATCGAGAATGCAGAAATTAACCCATCCACATACAGCCGATTGATTTTGACAAAGGGCCAGAGTACACTGAGTGGGGAGGAAGGTCAATCTCTTGAACAGATGGTGCTGGCAGAACTGGAAATCTATATGCAAAAGATTGAAACCAGACCTTTTTTACACGTCACACCATATGTGAAAAACCAAATCAGCATGATTAAAACCTAAATGTGAACCCCACAATTATAAAGGTCATCAATGGGAAAATAGGGACAGATTCAAAGGCTCTAATACAGGGAGTCCTTGTGTGGCACTGGGGACTAATGCATCAGACTGCAAAGTCGTTTGAACTGTAAGTTCGGTGGTTTAAGCTCACCATCTGCTCCTCGGAAACCCTGTACAGGGTCGCTATGGGTTGGAATCGACTCGACAGCACTTAACAATACAGGGCACAAACAGACTACCATGAATTGCACAAACAAAAGACAAGATAGAGAATTTGAATATATTAAACATTATAAACTTATCCATGTGCATCTTAGGATATCACCAAAATAGAAAGGGGTCCACAGAATGGGAAAAAGTCTTGCAATGACACATCAACAGGGGACTAAGTTCTAAAATCTATAGGAAACTATAACACTTCTACAAGACAAAGATAAATAACCCAATTAAAAAATAGGCACAGGATATGCACAAACTGAAATGTTCACGATCATTAGCCATTTGTTATTAAGTGCTGCCGAGTTAATGCTGACCCATAGCGACCCTGTAATATGGTTTCCAAGGAGCAGCTGGTGAGCTTGCAGTTCAAATGGCTTTGCAGTCTGGTGCCTTAATCCATTTGTTGTGATGTGCCGTGGAGTTGGTTCCGACTCACAGCGACCCCGTAACAGGGTTTCTGAGGCTGTAAATCTTTACGGGAGCAGAAAGCCTCATCTTTCGCCCGTGGAACAGCTTGTCGTTTTGAACTGCTGACCCTGAGGTTCGCAGCCCAATTCCTAACCACAACGCTGCGAGAGCTCCTTATTAACCCATTGTTGTTGTTAAGTACCGTGGAGTCAGTTCTGACTCATAGCGACCCTGTACAGGGTTTCCGAGGCTGTAAATCTTTACGGGAGCGGAATGCTTCATCTTTCTCCCGCGGAACAGCTGGTTCTCCCGCGGAACAGCTGGTAGTTTTGAAATGCTGACCGTAAGATTAGCAGACCAATTCATAACCACTACGCTACCAGAGTTCCCATTGTTGTTGTTGTTGTTAAGTGCCGTCGAGTCGGTTCCGACCCATAGTGACCCTGTACAGGGTTTCCGAGGGTGTAAATCTTTACGGGAGCAGATCGCCTCATCTTTCTCCCGCGGAGCAGCTGGTAGTTTCGAACTGCTGACCTTCCGGTTCGCAGCCCGATTCGTAACCACTACGCTACCAGAGCTCCTTACACATCGACAGTTGTTGTTGTTGTTGTTAAGTGCCGTCGAGTCGGTTTCGACCCATAGCGACCCTGAATAGGGTTTCCGAGGCTGTAAATCTTTACGGGAGCAGATCGCCTCATCTTTCTCCCGCGGAGCAGCTGGTAGTTTCGAACTGCTGACCTTCCGGTTCGCAGCCCGATTCGTAACCACTACGCTACCAGAGAGTTCCCATTAGAGAGATGCAAATCAAAACAATGAGATGTCCTCTCACATAAGCAACAACAGCGAAGTTCAAAAAAGCAGAAAATAAAAGCTAGCCAGAATGTGGAGAGACTGGGACTCTCCTACATTGCTGGTGGGAATGCAAAATGGTTGCAACCATGGTGGAAAAACGTATGGCGCTTCCTCAGAAAGTTGGGAATAGAGATACCTTATGATCCAGCAATTCCTCTAATTGGTATATATCCACAAGAGATACAAAAGCCAGGACACGAGTAGATATATGCATACCAATCAATGTTCATAGCAGCACTTCACAATAGCAAAAAGACGGAGACAGCCCAAGTGCCCATCAGTGCAAGAATGGATAAACTGTGATACATACACACAATGGAATACTATGCTACCTTGAAACAAGGAAGCTGCAAGCCACCACATAACATGGATTAAACTTGAGGACAAATTAGTCACAGACAGACAAATATTGCATAAGACCATTATTGTAACAGCTTAAGAAAAGATACCTATACTTAAAGGGAAAAAAAATTTTTTTGTTGTTGGTTACCAGAGGTGGGAGGGAGGGGAAGGTAGAACACAGGGTAGGGGACAGACAGACACATCATAGCTTGGATGTTGGGGACTGCTTACATAAGAAGGGGAAGGGGAATGGAAGAACACGGAAGACAGGGGAACACTGAGGCAGGTTTGCATGGGCTACATGGGACAGAGGTAAATAGTGATGTATGTTCAACCTTGGAAAAACAGGGCTCGGTGACACAAGATTGAGGCGTAGTCTGAATGGGTTGTTATTATTTGTATGTGCTGTAGAGTCGGTTCCGACTCATAGTGACCCTGTATAGGGTTTCCGAGGCTGTAAATCTTTACGGGAGCAGAAAACCTCATCTTTTCCCGCGGAACAGCTAGTAGTTTTGAACTGCTGACCTTGAGGTTAGCAGCCTGATTCGTAATCACTACGCTACCAGAGCTCCTTAGTCTGAGTGGGTAAAAGAGGGGAAATAATGTTAAGATGCTTGGCTGTCTATGAATATTGGTTTCCTTTGCCTAGTATTGTAAAATACACACTTAAGTGGAATAGAAAGGAATATTGGGAAACATGATTACGGAAAGCTTGTAAGCCTGTCTTGAGCCTGTAAGTCACTGGAAGACGTAAAAGGGGTTCTAGAACTACCCAGTGAAATAGGCTTCTTGTGGAGTCTTTGTAATGCATAGACAGACCCTTAGGCGGGATCCAGAGCCTCATCCAGAACCTTTTGAGGTAGGACAGACCCACTTTAAAGGACAAGCAGAACAGCCTGAAGGAGCTATAGGAACAGAAAATTCTTTAAAGAAAGACCAGCAGGAAAAAAATCCAAAACAAAAATGGCAGACTGATTAGCTACTACAAGGACAAATGTTTGCCAGAGAGCTATCAAGGCAAGCAATCAAGTCCCTTCAGGACAAACGCCCCCACCTCTAAGACTGAAACTCACGGGAATACATGAGCAGGCATGTAAGCTTGATGGCACCCACATTGGTCTACTGGTGAGTGGAAGAGTGGGAAAGGCAGCAATGAAGAAATGGGCTGAGTTTGACCACATTCCATAGACGTCCCCACATCAACACAGAGATGAGAGAGAAGAAGAAGGGCTGGTTGGTTTAAAGGGTGGTGAGACTTTGGAGACTCCTGAGCCCATGGACAAGGACACAGCCACAGAGGGCTAGAGCTGAGAGTGAAGCATCCAGCTGATATGCAGTGAGGGGAGATGCACAAGAACACCCAAACTTGCAGGTAGTACCCATTTGACCTAGCCTCGAGGGTTTGATCAGAACTCGACAAGAAAAAAAAAAAAAATTTGATAAAGGAAGCAAGTATAAATGGCTACAATTTGATGAACTTGACCTTTATTTATGGATATAGTAGCTCAAAATACCAACTGAAAGGGAAGGAGTCTTCACATCAAAAATTAAACCTATCCCCCTCCTCTGTACACAGGGTTGATAGGGATGGGCTACTTTAAATGGAGGGGCAACAAAGGCACCAAGTGAATGGCTTACAAGTTTTCAAGACAGAATTTATTTTCATAGTGTGTGTGTGGGGGGAAAGATAGAGTCCCCCTACCTACCTGAATAGCTTTCGTCTTGTCTAGACAGGTCTGGTGAAAAGAGATGGGGATAATATTCTTATGATTCAACAGTAATTGTTATCATGATTAATTATGACTGTCACAACTGTAAAGGTAGAAGTTTTGTAACAAAAATGGGGGAGAAATTTTACAGTCCTAAGTAGCTCTCGTAGCGTAGTGGTTACAAATCAGGCTGCAAACTGCAAGGTCAGCAGTTTGAAACTACCAGCTGTTCCGCGGGAGAAAGATGAGGCTTTCTGCTCCCATAAAGATTTACACCCTCGGAAACCCTGTACGGGGGTTGCTATGGGTCTGAACCGACTCGATGGCACTTCACATCAACAAACAACTGTGATAGCTGGAACCGCAGTTGCCTGGCCAGGCCAGACTAAAAGATTTCCTGGGTCTTAAACAGCCTGCCTACAGGCCGACGACGTTCCCTACCCCTGCTTCAGACACTGACAACTGTGACAACTATGTTTTAAGTCATCAGTGGTGTAACGTTGCACTGGAGAATTGTAAAAAGTCTCCACACTCCCAGGACACTCCCAGGAAGAGAAGCATGGGACAATAGAACACAGTGACAACTTGTACTAATGAAGCATGTGGTTGAAAGCCAGCTGGTGACGGTCTAACATGTGGACTACTTCCATGAGATAGCAGACTGACATCGACTTCTCAGACCCCTGGTCTCTGTGACTAAGACAGCATGGTCATAAACTTCCGAGACCTGGGCACTTTGACTTTCCTGTTACCATGGTGGATCGCCATGGCTACCGTTCACTTACTAGACAATGTTTGCAATCTGAGAGCTGGCCTCATCCTGTGACCTTTCTCATCATGACAGTAACTGAGGGAACAGACAGAACCATCAGACCAAACTCAATGGCTAAAAGCTGAGTGTTAGTGGTAGATACCTATACCTACATGCAAGTCTGTGGTGATGTTCAATCAGCTGTCATAGGAGAACACACTATGAAGATTAGAAGAATCGTACCTGAGCTTCGTTAGAGGACAACGTTGACTCTTCAAAGCTTCACACAACAGCTTTATCCCACTATTTCCTAGAGAATTCTGACCCAGGTCCAAAGTGGTTAGGTTCTGGTTGCATTTCAAGGCAGATGAGAGGTCCATGCAACTGAAGGGTACCAGAGAGCATCCCCACAACCTAATGAGAAAACACCAAGGTTAAGGTTATTCATTAATGTGACCTTCATTATAGACTGAGTGAGAGTTAACATAGCAACCTAGCTTTCCATTCAGTCATTCATATACATCTTGCTGAATTTACATCATTGAAAACACATCGTGGGACTTGCGAAGTGCGGCTCAGTCAGTTCCAACCCATAGCAACTGCCGACCTTGTAGTCTGGCGCACTAACCCACAACGTCACACCGGGTCTCCCCACAATGGCTTATCACCGAATTCCTCCCTGTGTGTTCTATTTCCATTCCTCCTCCTCTCCTAACCCTTCTGAATTTTTTGTTCTTAGGTACATGCTGCCTTTTGATTTCAAGTGGTTGATCATTCTAAAAGGTGGCTAAGGGCTAAAGTCAGGGGTTCCACCAGTCATAAAGTAAGCCTGGTCATTGTCATTTTGAGTTCTCTTCCACCTTCTCTCACTCTGTCCAGGACCCCCCAACGTGATCATTTATAAAGCAGCTGGTAGTGTAGTCTCGAACTTGCCAATATCAAGTTACAGAGTCACGGCAGTCAGAGCCATCTGGTAGTATTACAATGACAGACACACAGACAATAAAACAGAATGGAGAACCCAAAAGTAAACCCATCATCCACTTATATCACCTGATCTTTGACAAAGGGCTCAAACATTAAACAGGGAAGAGAATCTCTTCAACAAACAGTGCTGGTAAAACTGAAAATCTATCTGCAAATGAATTAAATAAGACCTACCTCTCCCACATGCGCAAAAATAAACTAATTGTGAATTAAAGACCTAAATATGAAAACATATAACTATAAAAAAAAATCAATGAAAAATTAGGAACAAACTTAGGGGCTCTAATACTGAAGAGCAGAGATGTCAGCCTGAGGACTAAGGTGCGCCTGACCCAAGCCATGGTGTTTTCAATAACCTCATATGGATGCGAAAGCTGGACAGTGAATAAGGAAGATCGTAGAAGAATTGATGCCTTAGAGTTGTGGTGTTGGAGGAGAATGCTGAGGGTGCCATGGACTGCCAAAAGAACCAATAGATCTGTTTTGGAGGAAGTGCAGCCAGAGTGCTCCTTGGAGGCCAGCTTCGTCTCTCCTACTTTGGACATATTGTCCGGAGAGAACAGTCGCTGGAGAAGGATGTCATGCTGGGTAGGGTGGAGGGTCAGAGAAAAAGAGGAAGACCCCCAACGAGATGGATCAGCCAGGTGGCATCATTGATGCACTCAAGTGTGGCAGCGGTAGTGAGGTTGGCCCAGGATCGGACATTGTTTCGTTCTGCTGTCCATGGGGTCGCTATGAGTCGGTTCCGACTCGATGGCACCTGACAACCACAACCACAACAACACATAACAACAATATACTCTAAAAAAGGATTAGAAACCAACAGAAGACAAATAGATGCCTGGGACCTCCTAAAAATTAGGACACTGGTGTCCGGCACAAGATTTCACCAAAAGATTAAAAGGGGAGCAACCCAACTGGAGGACTAATCGTTAATTTTTACAGAAACTTGTAACATCTCTACAAGAAAAAGAAAACTCAATGAAAAAGTGAACACAGGACATGAACACTTACTTCACCATGGAAGACAACTAGGCATCAAATAGTATGAAAAGATGTTCATGATGGTTAGCCACTAGAGATGCAAATCAAACCAACAATGAGATCATCTCATGCCAACATTAACAGTAAGCATTACCACCCAATGCTGGTGAGGATGTGGAGAGACGGGGACACTCCTATCTTGCTGGTGGAACTGTAAAACTATTGTCAGGAGGGCCAAGTCACTGGAGAAGGGTATCTTGTTTGGTAAAGTGGAGGGTCAGAATAGGAAGAGTGCTCCCCCACCCCACCCCCCTCCAGTGAGATGGCTTGGCACTGTGGCAGCAATGATGGGCCCAGGCGTGGCTATGATTGTGAGGTTGACTCAGGATTGGGCAGTGGTTTGTTCTGTTGTTCAGAGGGTTGCTATGAGTCGGTACCAACTTGATGGCACCTAACAACAACAACGAGGGAAAACTGTAACACTTCATCAGAAAGTTGGAAATAGAAATGCCATGTGACCCAGCAATCCTTCTACTTGGTATATATCCACAAGCACTATGAGCTAGGACAGGGGTACATGCGCACCGATGTTCATCACGGTGCTGTTCACAATACCACAAAGATGAAGACGACCTAAATGCCCATCAACGGAAGAGTGGATAAACAAACTTTAATGATGACTCTTTTAAAACACCTTATAATATGGGAAGAATCAGGAAGATGTTATGCTGAGTGAAATTAAGTCAATCACAGAAGGGAAATAAATGTTGTATGAGATCATATTATAAAAACTCAAACATTTTTCATATTAAAAGAAACATTCTTAGATGTTTGGGAGGGAAGGGAGTGTAATTCACTGGGCTAGAAGGTAGACACATGTTAACTTGGGTGACGAGGGGTTACAATATACAAGAGGGAGTTTGGCAGAAGACTGATGAAAACAAGGAGGTATACCAGGGATAAAAGGGATGGAAGAGTTATACACGCAACCTTGTCATAGCAGTGTTCTGTGCGTAGATACATGGACAGACACCGGCTGAATTGGTATGGGAGGAAAGTGGGATATTTACATATTCCACAAATGTATACAAGTGGATACCACAGGAAGTCAGAAGGACAACAACTGTTGTTGCGTAGAGGGGGGATTGTGATCATTGAGATGAAACCAAGTAATCTGCAGAATGAAGTTGATGATCTTGTGTCTGTAAACCTTCCCCCAACTCACAGTAAGATGAAGTTTGTGGAAAAATGGAATTTAAGAATGGAATTTTCCCATGGACTTTTGAAGTCCCTGTGAATGAAAGGCAAGATATAGCTGGTGTGATGCTGTGGGATAAAGAATTGGACCACAAGGTCAGTATGAACCACAACGTCGGCGGTTCAAACTCACTAGCCACTGCTTGGAAACCCTATGCAGGGTTGCTATGAGTCAGAACTGACTTGATGACTCTCAACAAAGTTGAGTTTACTAGGTATGATGATCAATCAAGAGAGACCTGAAGTGAAGAGAGGACCACAGAGATCCAGGCTAAGGGTTCTCTAGGCAGAGAAACAGTCTGTGTGCAAAGGCCCCGAGGTTGTATGTGATTGTTAAATGTGGTACATCAAGGCAGTCAGAGAGGGAGAGCGCGCCAGGAGGGATCTCAAGAGTGGTGTTCTAGGTTAGAGGGGGCCAGATCACATTAAGCCCCTTTCAACCCAAACCAAACTCCTTGTCATTGACTTGATTCTCACTCATGGTGTCCCCACCACCACCAGCCCCCTCCCATGTGTGTCAGAGTAGAGCTGTGCTCCATAGGGTTTCTCAATGCTTGGTTTCCAAAGTCGATCACCAAAAGGCCTTTCCTTCCTTGTCCATCCTTCATCTGGAATCTCTGCTGAAACCTGTTTAATCGTCACAGTAGCACATGGGGGTGGGTGGGAGCTATGCATGATGGTTAGCACTAGCTGGAAACCAAACCCCGCTCTCCTGCATGGAAGGAGAGCATTCTACCGCTCAAGTACATACCTATGACCCTCCAAGTCACAACCAGTTGAGATGTTTGCTATGCTGACCTTTCATTTCAGACCGATTCGTTCACGAAGCATGACTTACCAGAGACATTTCAGGCTGCACTCTGGTCCCTTCAGGGCCTCACACAGGAAGATCAGTCCCATAATGCCGAGGCAATTCTGACCCAGATCCAAGTGCGTCAGGCTCGGCTTTTTTTGGAGGAGCTTTGAGAGATGGTCGCAGCCATTTTCAGTGATACCACAGCTCCATAGCCTGAAAGTCAATCACATGGAAACATCTCAGTCGGCTCAATGTTCCAACACCATGGTCGTCTTCAAGTCATTGGTCTGAGACACGTGTAGAAATGGACACTTGGAAATGAAGTCATGGTGTGGTGTGGTGGTGGTGCGGTGGTGGGTAGCGTACTGTGGACTTGGTTCTGACTCAGAGCTACCTTGTAGAGGGTTTCCGAGGCTGTCCATCTTTACCAGAACACAGAAAGCCTCTTTCTCTCGTGGCGAGAAAATCATCTAAAGCAAAAAGGAAAGTCATCAAAGCCGTTGCTCCCTCAGGCCAATGCCAACTCATGGGGATTCTATGTTACAGTCCAATTGCCCCCCAGTCATCTTTTGGTTCTAATTTTATTTTACAGAAGATGATTAAGGCGTCTCCCCTGGGGTGCCACTGGGTTGGTTGGAACCCAGTTTTCGGTTCGAACCCTTAAATTCAAACCAATTACGTCACCCAGAGAACTAGCAGGTTAACGGTCCCCAGCGAAATCCTTTATCTTAATTCCTGTCATGGAATATGGGACTTTACGTGGAGAAAGGCACTTTGTAGATTGGTTAAGTCTCGCAGTATGAAGAAGTCATACTGGATTCTTTGAGTGAGCCCCAGGTACACCTGGACTCCTGGTGTGGCGCTGTAGGTTAATGCGCTGGACTGCGATGTCATTTGAACTGCAAGGTTGGCGGTTCAAGTTCACCAAGCACTCCTCAGAATCCTAGACAGGATCGCTATGGATAGGAAACGACTCAATGGTACTGAATGTACAGCTAAGGAGTTCTGGTAGCACACTAGGGCCGTTAACTACAAGGTCAACAGGTTGAATCTGCAGGAGAAAAGATGAGGTTTTCTGCTCCCACAAAGCTTTGTGACCTTGGAAAACCTAGACAGAGTCTCTAAGAGTCAGAACCTACTGCATGGCACATAACTTACCATCATCACCGATGTACAATCGGACTGGTGCTGATGAACAAACACTGGGCCACTAACAGAAGGGTCAGCAGTTCAAACTCACCAGCTGCTCCTTGGAAAGCCTACACAGCGTTGCTGTGAGTCAGAACCCTCTAGATGGCACGCGAACAAATATACAGCCCGAATGTTCCTCAGCAGTGAACAACCGGTGGCTGGCCTTCGGGCCTCGTACTTTGCAGATGTTGTCAGGAGGTGTAAGTTTTTGGAGAAGAACATCATGTTCAGTAAAGTGGAGGGCCAACAAAAAAAGACGACCCCCACAATGAGATGGATTGTTACGGTTGTAGCCAACAATAAGTGGAAACCTAACAATGAGGCTAGTGCAGTATTTCATGCTTTTGTGTGTAGAGTTGCTGAGTCTGAACCAGTTTGATGCATCCTTGTAAGAGGGAGGCAGGAGGGTCAGAATCAGAGGAGATGTAGAAGAGACGGGATGAAGGATGCAGAGGGGTTTTTCCAGATACTATGCTGCTAGGTTTGAACATTAGGAAGGGGCCATAAGTCAAAGAATGCAGGCAGCCTCTAGAAGCTGAGGAGGAAATGACTCCCCTAGCACTTTCAGAAGGAACCCAGTCCTGCCCACACCTTGGTTTCAGCCTAGTGAGACCAATTTTAGTGGGTGGGGCCACATATATTAACATATAAGATAAGGCAATCAGTGGACACTTACACCAGGGTCTGCAGTTTACAGTTGGGGTCACTCAAACCCTCACACAGAAGCTGCACCCCACCATTCCCAAGCTCATTCTTCGCCAAGCACAGATGTGTCAGCTTCTCGTTTCTGACCAAAACGGAGAGATTCCTGCAACAGCCTCCTGTAAGACGACAGTTTTCCAACCTGTGGAAGCATCACAAAGACAATAAAATGGTGGGCTCACTTCCCAAGTCCAGCTCTGCCCAAGCTGCGAGTCTTCAGTTACAACCCTTCTTTGTTTTCTGTGTTAGTGATCACAAACAAAGGGATGAAGGGAAGGGCACGACAAGATACTTGCACCACACTCAGGACCAAAAATGGGGACCAAGTGTTTCCAGGCTCTCAATTTGAGGTGTAATCACCATTCCTCTCTTCATGACCCAGACCTCAAACGAAGATGCGGCTTCACAGACTACGAGAGAGACTTACGACAACCTCTGCAGGGAGCAGTTTGATTCCTTCAGCGATTTACACAGCAGCTTTGCACCATCATCTGAGAGCTCATTGTCCGTGAGGTTCAGGCAGGTTAACGACTGGTTGGTTGTAAGGGCAAGTGAGAACTCACCCCACCGTGAAATGGTAGCAGAACCACCTCCCAACCTACAGGAGAAATAAGAACAAGGCACGGAGAGTCCAACCACCGTGTGATTGTCTAGTTCCGTTATCTGGCTTGAATTCAGCTACACCAGCATTGGGAGAACAGTTGGAAATACAAGTTCTCAGCTCCCACCTTGGTACATAAGGACCCATATGTAAGGCTAAAGAAAACGAAGGACAAAGTTTTGAGCTTCTGATTCTATACTACACATTGAGAGAAACAAAGGGATGCAGTGGTTTTTTCAGCTTTACAAAATGGAAGCTCTAGGGTCTGTTGTTAGGTGGCATTGTTAGCTTCTGAATCACAGCAACACTGCACAATACAATGATACACTGCCAAGGCCTGCACACCATCCTCACAACTGCCCCTTTACCAATCCATTTTGTTGAGGGGCTTCCTCTTTTGCTGGCCTCCCACTTTACCAACCATGATGTCCTTCTCTCCAGAAACTGGTCCCCCTCCTGATAACATGCCCAAAGTATGAGAGGAAATCTTACACGTGGGTTAGTGAGCCAGACTGCAAAGCTGTTTGGAACTGCAAGGTCAGCAGTTTAAGCTCATCAGTCACTCCTCGTATAGGGTCACTATGGGTTGGATGCGACTCAAGGGCACTTAATAACAACAACAATAATTGGAAAGCTCTAAGGAGCTCTGGTAGCATAGTGGTTACGAATCGGGCTGCAAACCGCAAGGTCAGCAGTTCAAAACTACCAGCTGTTCTGCGGGAGAAAGATGAGGCTTTCTACTCCCATAAAGATTTACAGCCTTGGAAACCCTGGACAGGGTCGTTATGGGTTGGAATTGACTCCACGGCACATAACCACCACCACCTGAAAGCTCTATCCCGTTACTACTTTTATGGTTGAGTCATGACCCCCCTGCTCCCCCATGGTTGTTGGTGACAATCATCTCTAGAACAACCATGTGTGTGTGCTTCCTGGTAGGGGAAGGGGGCCCTCTCAAACCAGAGGACCACTAGGAAAGGACCAACTTCCAGCTAATTCCTTGGGAAACTGATGCCAGGGTTACTATTCTAAACCTCAGCATGATGGACTATGTACGAAGGACCTGATGGAGGATGGTACCCAGAATCTGGAAGCTTCTTTGGACTCAGGTTTATCCTTATAGTTGTCCAGGTCATTCAAAGTTCAAAGTTTACAGAAGCTGAACTCCTGAACAGTACTGTATCTAATCGGAAAAATCCCACCCATCCCCAAACCCAAACCAGTTGCCATTGAGAGCCTGTTCTGACTCAAGGTGACCCCATGTGTCCCCGACTCGAGCCGTTCCCTAGGGTTTCCTTGGCTGTCCTCACCATGTAGTCGGACTGCCAGCCTTTTCTTTGGAGGTGCCGCTGGATGGGTTTGAACCACCAACCTTTCAGTTAGTAGTTGAGTGGTTCACGGTTTCAGCCACCCCAGGGATACCACCTTATCAGAATTAAGGGATCCTTTTGATCTAACTTATAGAGAAGCACTCTGTAAGCTCATGGGAGTCCTGGTGTGGTGCCGCTGGACTGAAAGCTCAGCCATTCAAACCCCCCAGCCGCTCCCTGGAAACCCTATACAGGGGTCACTATGGGTCGGAATCAACTAGATGGCATTTAACAACAACCTGGAAGCTTCATGGCAGCTTTGTTTGGATGTGGACTTCTTGGCGCTGGTTAAGCCATACCTGAGATACTGCAGGCTACTTCCCGGGTAGGTCACGATCTGTGAACATAATGAGGGCAGTGTATCCTGGCCACTGCTTTGAAGGGTCAGATGTGTCAATGTCTTCTGATTACAGAAAGCAGCGCAGAAGTCCTCGTAAGCTTTGGCAGGTGAAATGTTATTGAGCCTAAGATAAAACAGACAAAATCTTGAGTTTCTGTTTCTATCTATGCACAGCAGAGGCTCAAAGGGTGCACTTATTTTTCAGCTTTAGAAACTATCCAAGGCTCTAATTTTAGTCACCTCAAACTTCGGTGAGAGAGAAATCCTAAGTAGCCCTTCAAGCAAAGCGTGTTGCTCCGCAGCTTTTTACAAGAAGGTGGCGCTGCTGCCGGTGGCTGTGGTAGAGCTGACCCCCAACTCTTGGCAACCCCATACACTGGCCAAACACGGCCTTGTCCTGCACCATGCCCTTGATTGGTTGTGGATCAGACAGTAAGTAGATCAAGCCTTTCTTCCTAGTTTCTTTTAGGGAAGAAGCTCCATTGAAACCAAGTCAGCAGCGAAGCAGCGTGCACGTCTCACGGATGGCTACCTGGCTGCTGTGGGTGAGGGCAGTGGCTGGGAGCGTTTCTACAGAAGTGAGAACTCTTATCACTGAGATCACCAAGGCCCGGAACTCAAGTCCTATGCCAATAGTCACTGCTCAAAGCTCCTCTAGCATTTAATCTCTGCCTCTACAGCTAAAGTTCTCAACCAGAGATGACTGAGTACCCTACCCCTATACCTCCACCTACCCTCCCCCACGGGGACTCTTGGCGATGACTACAGACGTGTTGCCACAATCATTGGAGGTGGGGGCTCTGTGTGCTATTAGAATCTAATGAGTAGGAGTTAGGGCTGCATCGAAACATGCTACCGGGCGCACAAGACATCCTCCATGTTCTACACCAAGAAGTCCCAAATTTCACCCAAGGCTGAGAAACCGCTTTATGTATGTTAAAGGCAGTCACGCTGGTTCAGACTCATAGCCACCATGCGTAGGGTTTCCAAAGAGCAGCTTTGGTTTTCCTAATGGCATTAAACTGCCCTCAGGATCTTGTGGTGTCGCCTGCCCACTCACATTTAAGGTGTTTTCTAATTGTCCAAATCATAGTTCACATTTCATTAAAGTTACTTTATGTGATTCATCCAAACGTAAGGTCAGGAATCTCTTCAATGACTTGTCTCCTCAGCACCTGTTTGGAATCTGGTGTGGGGAGATTCAAATATCGCTTTGAATACTAAAACACAACGGTTTGTCGTTTGTTTGGAGCACTAGGGATTTCAACCCAGCAATTCGATTTTACTTACACCACCTTCTGCAGATTATGGGTTTTGGAGGCTAAGTGGTCACAAAGAATCTTCACTGTGGAGTCATTAAGGAAACTTTGATTGATGTCCAGAGATACTAGGTTCTTGTTTGAACTGAACATGGAACAGAAGTCCATCCAGACAGACAGAATGTGTTGCTCCTTCTTGTGCCTGCAGGGAAGAAATGAAGGGAAGAGATGTTAAGATGAAGGAATTTGCCAAATATTTCTAGAGACAAAACCCAGCAATTTGGCCACTCTGGAGAAGATGCTAAGGATTGCTCTGATTACATACCCCTAAATAATCAAACCAAGTCAGAACAAACGCTTGCTGCCAGATTGACTGACTTATGGTGACCCCGTATGTATTGTAGGATTTTCAGTGATTATCTGAATATAGATAAACTAGGTCTTTTTTCAGCGGTACCAGTGGGTAGACTACAATCCTCCAACCTTCTGGTTAATGTCAAATGTGTCAGCTATCTGCACTGTGCAGGCACTGCATCCCCTAGTAAATTTGTAGCTTCTGGAGAATTCCGTATTTAATACTACTATCCAACAAATGATTGCAGAACGCATACCACTGGAGAAAGAATACAGGCTTCTGTTTATTCTAACCGAAAACTAAAATTCTAAGCACATCATTGGAAAAACATTGAGAGCAATACACATTATTATCACTAGGGTTATTTGAAGACCTATTAGTGTTACCTTTACATATAAATGTGTTATCTTTACACACATAGGGTTTCCAAGGAGCAGACCATGTAAGTTACTTTACGACTGTTAAACAATGTTCATAGAAACTTGCAAAGATCTACTTACATAAAATGTCTTAAAGAAATCTGTTTCCTGGTAGGCTTTGTGTGGGTAACTCATGGTTTCTTTATATACATCCATACATCTATTTGATGAATGAAGTACTGGAGGCACTCATTGATCTATGCTAAGAAATTTGAAGACAGTCACTTGGCCAAGTGACTATAGACGACATCTGTTATTTGTGCCCATTCCAAAGAGATGATCCAACGGAATGTGGAAATCATCAGACATCATTGCATACAAGCAAAAGTTTGCTTATCATAAAAACGGTGCAACTGTATATTGACAGAATTTACAAAGGCTCCAGCCAGATTTAGATGAAAACATGGGAAGAGGAGTATCATTGCTGACGTCACATGGATCTTAGCTGAAAGTCGAGAATACCAGAAAGGTGTTTACCTGTGCTTTACTGACTACGCAAAGGCTTTCAATTGTGTGGATTGTGGCAAGTTAAGACAGCATCGTGGAGAATGAGTATTCCGGCATACTTACTTGTGCTCATGAGGACCTAAGAAGCAGTTGTTTGAACAGAACAAGGAAACAACGAATGGTTTAAAATTAGGAAATGGTGCTCCAAGGTTGTATTCTTCCACCGTACTTACTCTGTTTGCTGAGCACATAATCTGAGAAGCTGGATTATATGAAGAACACGGCATCAGGATTGGAGGAAAACTCATTAACCTGCGGTATGCAGATAATACAACCTTACTAGCTAAAAGCGAAGAACTTAAATTGAAGTTATGAAAGACTTCATTTTGCTCAGATCAACCATCAACACTCATGGAAGCAGCAGTCAAGAAATCAAACGACGTATTGCATTAGGCAAATCTGCTGCACAAGACCTCTTTTAAAGTATTGAAGAGCAAAGATGTCAGTTTGAGGACTAAGGTGCACCTGACCCCAGTCATGGTATTATCAACCTGATACGCACGCGAAAGCTGGACAGTGAATAAGGAAGACTGTAGAAGAATTGACGCGTTTGAGTTATGGTGTTGGAGAATATTGAAAGTGCCATGGGCTGCCAAAAGAACCAACAGATCTGTGTTGGAAGAAGTGAAGCCAGAGTGCTCCTTGGAGGCCAAGACGGCCAAACTTTGTCTCTTATACTTCGGACATATTGACAGAAGGACCAGTCACTGGAGAAGGATATCATGTTTGGCAGGGTGGAGGGTCAGAGAAAAAGAGGAAGACCCCCAATGAGATGGATTGGCCAAGTGGCAGCATCGATGGACTCAAGCGTGGCAACAGTAGCGAGGTTGGCCCAGGATCAGGCAGTGTTTCGTTCTGCTGTGCATAGGGTCACTGTGGGTCGGTACCGACTCGATGGCACCTGACAACAAGAGTTGGAACTGACTATGGCACCTAGCAAGGAAGCTGGAGAGAAAACGAGTATTTCAAACCAAGATTCCAAGGGGAAGAAAAGAAGTATTTTATTCTGGCCCAATACCATGCATATGTTAAGTGCCTTTGAGTTGGTTCTGACTTGAAGACCCTAAATACAGTTTCCAAGGAGTGGCTGATAGATTTGAACCAGTGATCTTTTGGTCCAATTATCCTACAGTGCCACACGAGGATTCCAAGAAGAGTAGGCATCCATGATATGGTTTTAACTGCCATCAAATCAGTTTGGACTCATAGTGACCCTGTATAGGGTTTTCGAGGAGCTACTGGTAGATTTGAACTGCCAACCTTGTGGTTCAAACTGACCTTGCTGTCCCTAGTGCTTATCCTATAGTGCCACACCAAGCCTCCATAGTACGTATGATGATACAGAAAGATACTGATTTTAAATGATCAATCTAGCAGTCAGAAGAGGTGAGTTGGTAAGGTTGAGTTTGTCACCCCAAGCTTTTAAATACCTAAAGACTTTACAGAGAGAAACATTTTAGTGGTTACCAGGGGCTGGGAGGGGTAGGTAATGTAAGTTATTGTTGAAAATAGATAGTGGGTGTGCTAACATAAAGAACATAGTTTAGATCATGGAATTGTGCCCACTTTATGGTTAAGAGTCAAGACAGCAAATAAAACAGACCTGTGTTTTAATCCCAGCCAAACACATTTTTCTGAAGGCAGTATGTGTGTCTGAACCTGGAAGATTAAAAGTTCCTAGTAGTCACTGGGTTAGAAATAGTATGAAAAGTTTGTGTAGGCGCTCACTTGTGGTTATGTGTGTAGGAGCTCGGTTGATATTATATGAACTAAGTCAATACCAATGACCTAGAAATGGCGGAGTCCATACCCCATTGTCCAAATCTGCAAGCTGAGGCATCTAGGAAGAGAATTCCCAGGATCTTGGGTGAGCTGTAGTTTTCAGAAACTGGCAATTCATTTTGACTGTGAAGTTTTAGCATGAACCTGATACTTTGAGTAAAAATAGGACACTCATTTCAAATACTTTACAAAAAATCTCCCAAGACTATTCAATTGATAGGATGCATCATTCCCGAGAATTGTCTATTTACATATCCTCCCAAGGAGATCTTGTAGCCTATAAATGATCAAGTACTCAGCTACTAAACCCACCAACTAGTTCCATAGGAGGAAGACCTCACAGTCTGTTTTGTAGAGACTGTTAAGTGCGGTCGAGTCGGTTCTGACTCACAGTGACCATATATAGGGTTTTTGAGGAGCGGCTGGTGAGTTTGAACTACCGGCCTTGAGATTCAAACTGACCTTATGGTCCAGTGCTTATCCTACAACACTACACTAGTCCAAAAAGCATGCATATGACACTATGTATGCGACACTAATGTTCATTCCGGCATGAGCTCATTCACAACAGCTAAAGGGTAGAAGCAAACTAATTATCCAGCAACAGATGAAGGACGAACAGTGCGCATGTACTACAGTGGAATAGTACACTTTGGCGTAAAGAGAAATGAGATATTGGTACATTCACAACATAGCTGACCCTTGAGAATATGCCTAAATCCGTGACAAAAGGCCAAACGCTGTATGATCTCATGAATGTGAAGGATACTATAAAGATGTATATCAGCACAAGAGGGGTTCCCAAGCATGGGAGGGAAGGAAGGGGAGCAAGGGGAAGTAATCAACGAGCTTTCAAGTTTATGGAGATGAAGAATTTGACAGAAGACATTGGTGATGCCTACATAACAAGACAGATTGAACTGATCTCACCAAACTGTGTTTGAAGAATGTTAGATTGATAAATTCAATATCAAACAGGGTTTGGCTCCACAGCTCCTCCACTTTGAATATTAAGCAGGAAGAAAGTTCAAGAGGAGGAAAAATTGTGATACTGTAGGATAAGTAGTAGAGTGCTTACGACTGTCAGTGGTTCAAACCCTGAGGAGCAGCGGCGCCTCACAATCCCATACAGAATCGTCGTCAAGTCAGAACAAATTCAATGGTACTTAACTAAGAAAGGAAAAGCAGGGAGGATTCTGGGTGCTATATATAGTTAAGTGCTCAAACACCATCCAAAAAGGTTGGCGGCTGGAACTCACTCAGGAGAGCCTTGAAGACAGGGCTGGGGGGATCTGCTTCTGAAGAGCCTCGAACCCCCACTGGACAGGCTCGTCTCTGCCCACAAGTCGGAACAGACTCAACAGCAACAAACAAGGAATGAAGAGTCTGGCCTCATTGCAATGGACCATGGGAGGAGGCCGGAGACCGGCAAAACCAGAGTGAAAAATGAGTCCTCTCCTTACCTCTCCTCCTCAGGGTGTGATTTCAAGGATTTATTCTCCACAAACATCTCCTTTGTTACCTTCAGCGAAAGCTTCTGCAGATTGTGACAACCCTTGAGACAGAAAGCTGCATGTGTCATGTCGATTTCATCTCTCAGGTGGAGAGACAGTTCGGTGAAAGGGGCCATGGCGTCCCTCACAAATTCCTCCTCCTGAGATTCATAGAGGCAGCGGAAAGTGTCCTTCATGGCCGACCACAAGAAGGGTTTGGACTTGATGGGCTTCACTTTCCATGTCAGCAATTCCTCTTTGACCCCGCTTGACACTCGGTAGCCAAACTTTGTCTCCAGCTCCTTGGCACTGTTTTTGCTCAAGAGGCCAAATATGAAGTATCCTAACTGGGTCAGGTTGGGGTTCTTCAGTATTTCTTCAGTGGTGAACAGCTTTTGTAGATCCCCAATGTCCTTCCTGTAGCTCTCCCAATCTTCCTCCTCCTCTTCAGTCTCTAGAATGTAAAATATGGCAGCCAGAAACTGCTGGACATTGAGGTGGACAAAGGAGTAGTAGCCTTTATTGTCTCTGTCTTTCTGAAGGACATTCCCCAGGAAAAGGCTGATCTCGGATTCCTTCATTCCAAGTCTCTTGGCAGTTTCTTCATTAAACCTGGATGTGTGTGTCCACACACCCCCAGCGGCCAAGAGGCACAGAACCTTCAATGGGGTTTGTAAGCACTGACGGGGGTAGCCGTCAGGCCCTTGTGAGAACTGATTGCACAGGACATGCAGGAATAGAGATGTGGTGGTTTGACACGTGGCAGTGGGGTCCTCCCGTTTCTCCATCTGTAGCTTCAGACACTTACAGACGAGCCAGCACACCATGGGTGCTGAGCACATGGGGAACAAAGCTGTATGGTTCTTTATCAAGTCAAAGGCTCTCATGGCTTCATATTCATCTTGGAAGTATTTCAAGAAATACCTCTTCCTGTCCATTTCTGAGAAGCCTTCAATTTCTATGAATACGAGAGGCTCTCCCAACATGAGCCGGAGTTCCCTCAGTGCCCAGGGTCGAGTGGTGATCAGGATTGTTGCTCTGGGCAAGATTTTCTTCGTTAGCAAACTGCTCAAGAGGATGGGTACCGGCTTCTGTGTCTTCAAGTCATCACATATGTCATGGATCAGCGCTCCAGGGGAGTAACTCAGCTCATCAAAATCATCAATGACGACCAGGACGTTCTGTGACTTGGCGATCACCTCCAGAGAGGCGTCGTCCAACTCAGGACAGTCCTTGGCAATTAGCTCAGCACAACTGCATGGCCCCATCTGGTTGAGTTGCTTGCAGTTGAGATAGAAAACAAATTGGAATCTCCTGGCGAGGTTGCCATCTGTCCAGTCGATCATCAACTTCTTGGCCAGCGTACTTTTCCCAACGCCAGCAGTCCCGTGCAGCACCACGGTGTGGGTGAGTGGCCCCGTAAGTATTTGAGGATTGCAGAATGGGATCAATGCCTTGTATCTCTCGGTGACAATAGAAAAGTTTCCAGTGGCTTCAGGGCAGAAGTTGTTCTTCCAGATTAGCTGAAACTTGTTCTTTAATACAATTCTATATTCTTCTGTTGTAACTCAAGTAATACAAAGTAGGGGATAGACAAGGTATAGGTGGTTATTAGGAAAACATAATGTAGTAAAGAAAAATGAGGTTTATAAATAATAACCCCAACATAAAACTTTGCCCAGAAGAAAATGACACTAACCTGCCTTTTTTATTGTCCAATATTGTTTTGTTTCTGGGTTGGTGAGATCATCTACTTCTATGAACTCTATAAAAAGAGAACAAAGTTGAGTATTTTGGCACAAATGTAGTTGTACTTCCTTTGTCAGCATAATAAAGCAGGCTACAAGAAGTTCAGGATCTACCCAATACTTGGCCCATATTATGTGCTGGAAGGTACAACAGCTGTGTTTGTAGAGATGCGATCAATAGGACCGATAGCCCCGTCTCCCCGAAACCAAGTGACTGGTCTCTAGAGACATAGGAAATAGGCCACTGTATTACAGAAAATCCTACACCGCCTGCTTTTATATAGCTGTCACATGTACTGGTCCATGAACTCCTTAAAGAAGGTTCAGGTCTTGGTCATCTGAATCCCCAATGCCAAGAACACCATTGTTAGCTCAAGGATGTACACTAGCTACCACAGTGGGGTGCAGAGTGGTGGTGTGCCACTCAGAGAAACCCTGTATAGGGTTTCCAAAGCATAAATCTTTACGCGAGTAGAAAGCAAAGTTCATGTCTATTTCAAAATGTGACATTGTTTAAGAATAGAGCCTTTATAGATGTTGTTCAGTAAGGACCACTGAGGTGTAATTATCCTGGATGTTAAGAAGTTAGCCCCTAAATTCAGTGAGTGGCATCTAAGACAAAGACGACAGGGCAGACACAGAGAAGACCACCATGTGAAGACACACATTGGAGTTATGTTGCCACAAGCTAAGGCATGTCTGAGGCTCTCTGTCTGGAAAAGGGGGAATTCTTCCTTAGAACCTTCAGAGGGAGCTTGGCTCCCATATAGTTATGAAACAAGTTGTTTTGAAATCGAAACTCAATGTATCTTGCTTGTTTTAGTCTGTTCCGACTCAGAAATCCTGTCACAGTACATGGTAGTCTCGGGAATCCTGGTGTGCTGCTCTGGGCTAATGCGCTGGACTGCAAATTTGGTCTGAATTGCAAGGTTGGTGGTTCAAGGCTCACCAGCTGTTCCTCAAAAACCCTATACAGAGGTGCTGGGCTGCTAAATCTTAAGGTCAGCAATTTAAAACTACCAGTGGTTCCATGGGAGAAAAATGAGGCTTTTTGCTCCCATAAAGATTTACAGCCTTGGAAACCCTATACAGAGTCACTATTGAGTTGGAACCGACTCCACGGCACATAACACCACCAGCACCTACCATGGGTCGGAACCAACTCGATGGCACTTAAAACAGGGTTTCTGAGGAACAACTGGGAAGTTTGAATTGCCCAAAACTTTGTGGATCCCAGAAGTCCCGTACTGTGTTTGCTGTTAAGCGCTGTCATAGCAACCTTGTATAGGGTTTCTGAGGAGCAGCTGGTTAAGTTTTAACTGCCAGCCTTATGGTTCAAATCGACCTTGTGGTCCAGTGCTTATCCTAACAGCACCATACCGGGATTTAGGGGGTCCCAGAAACTTACAAGTGACTATCGAGAAACAGCAATGGGTCTCAATTCACCTGGGGCAACAGATGAGAGTAAGGGATAATAAGGAAACGGTTTATGCGGGATGTTTAGCTCATTGCCTCCATGAAAAACTACCTCCTTTACCAGAAGACCAAAATACTGGGTGGTGTTTGGCTGTCTTTACTAAAGATTTTGATCCAGATTCCAAAGACGACGAGATCTTGATGAAGGGGGGAAAATGCAGAGCAAGTGTCAGAGTTTTCACTGAGTCCTCATGTCCTAGAGACCTGGAAGCTAGATGAGCCCCTGAAATTGTCCTGAGATTTTTAAAACTTACACTAGAAATATTATCCTGGAAAAAAAAAACAACAAAAAACAAAAAAGTTCTGCTTTGAGCACATGATGTATCTTTAGGTCTATATGGGACCAAAAAGGTGCTCTGGTAGTGTAGTGGTTACTAGCTGAGCTGCCAACCTTTAAGGTCAGCAGTTCGAAACTACCAGCGGTTCCATGGGAGAAAGATGAGGCTTTCTGCTCCCGTAAAGATTTACAGCCTCGGAAACCCTGTGCAGGGTCACTGTGAGTGGGAACCGACTCCATGGTATTTAACAACAACAAATATGGGACCAAAGTGACAACAGAAAAGACTAGAAACCTTACATTCATGAGGGAAGAACTTGGCAAAAGAGGGGCAAGAATAATTGGATGCAAAGGATGTAGCCAGTGTCACTGAAGTGTACGTGTACAAAGTGTTGACTGGGTGTATGTTTTGCTGTGTATATTCAACATAATACAATTTCATAGGAAAACAAAACAAAACTTATTCTTGATCAGTAAAAAAAGTAATTAGAATAAGTGCCATGTGAAGAAGTTGTAGATCATGTTGTTAAATTGGTTCTGACTCATAGTGACCCTGTATAGGGGTTTCCGAGGAGTGGCTGTTTGAACCGTTGACCTTGCGGTCTGGTGCATTAACCCATAGCAGGACTCACCGTTGTCGCTGTGGCTGAGTGCTGTGAAGTCGGTTCTAACTCACAGTGACCCTGGGAGTCCAGAGTGACCTTGTGGTTCAGTGATTTATCCCAAAGCATCACCACACCAGGACTCCAAAATGGTCTCAAATTCATTAGTCAAGTAGCTGAGCAGCACTGCTAATGGCTCCTCAAAAAGTCACTAGTGGCATGTTGCTTCTCTAAAATACCATACACTTCCTCAGCATCTGCTTAGAGAAATGTAAAAGTGTTCACACAGACTCATACGTGAATGGTCATTGTTGGTAAGTGCCCTCAAATCTGTTCCTATACAGAGGGACCCTGTTTAGGGTTTCCGAGGAGTGTCTGGCGAGTTTGAACCAGTAACCTTGTGGTCCAGCACTTATCCTATGGTGTGCCACACCAGGACTCCTGAATGTTCACAGTCACATTTTTAAGTCAAAGGTAGAAAAATTTTACTAACTGGTGAATGGACAAAAGATTTTGATTGCCTATTTACTTGTTAATAATTTTTTTAATATGCAATATTCTGAATCTGATAATCACATGGCTTATTACGCTGGAAAGGACTAATTGAAGAGAAATGACATTGCATTCATTGTCAGAAAGAGACATTGCATTCATTGTCAGAAAGAACATTATCAAGATCTGGCATGAGGTACAATGCTGTCTGTGATAGGATAATATCCATTTGCCTACAGGGAAGACCAGTTAATTCCACTGTTATTCAAATTTATGTCCCAACCATTAAAGCTAGTGAAGATGAAATTGAAGAATTCTACCAACTTCTTCAGTCTGAAGTTGATTAAACATACAATCAAGATTTATTAATAATCACTGGCAATTGGAACACAAAGGTTGTAAATAAAGGAGGAAGGATCAGTAGTTGGAAAATAATGGACTTGGTGATAAAAATGATGGCAATCATGTGCTAGAATTCTGCAAGACCAGTGATTTGCTCAAGTACTTTTATGCAGCATAAAAGACAACTATCCACGTGGACCTCACCAGATGGAATACACAGAAATCACAACTTACTACACATCTGTGGAAAGAGATCCATGTCAGCCAAAACAAGACCAGGGGCAGACTGCATCAGACCATCAACTGCTCATATGCAAATTCAGACTGAAGCTGAAGACAATGAAAACAAGAACACTAGACCCAAAATATGACTTTGGATATGTTGTTGTTGTTGTTAAGTGCCGTTGAGTCGGGTCCGACCCATAGCGACCCTGTACAGGGTTTCCGAGGGTGTAAATCTTTACGGGAGTAGAAAGCCTCATCTTTCTCCCGCGGAGCAGCTGGTAGTTTCGAACCGCTGACCTTAAGGTTCGCAGCCCGATTCGTAACCACTACGCTACCAGAGCTCCTAAATTTAGAGATCTAAAGAACAGATTTCATATGTTAGACACTAAAGACCGAAGACCTGTGGGATGACATTAAGATATTACAGAGGTGGGGTTTAATTGCGGATTAGGGAAAAGTGTGCGGTACAGACCTCCGCCAGCAATAACACAGAATACCCAATGAAGCAGGTTTAGGGGACTGTTCCAGAACTCTGAACTACATATAATAGAATGTTTACAAAGTTTGGAGGCTCACAGTCAGTGAATTTGGAGATGGAAACTGGTGTCTTCTGATGTGTGGTTGTCAGCGACTCCCAGAGCAGCCATCTTGGCCGTGACGGAGTATGTGAAGATCAGAGGGGCACTGCCCCCGCATCTGTCTGACCCATCCTTGGAGATAAAGGTGTGGACATTTTTTCCTCTGTTCATTGGGCTCTTGCTGTCTGTGCACCTCCACTCTGGTGACTAGAGGGGATACCTGAGCATGTGGACACCCCCACCCCATCTCCCGAGGGTTCTACTATGCATGCTCACGGATCTGCTCAGCAAAGATTACCATGTGCAGAATCTATGAGGGAGAAGACACTGCTTAAAACCGAATGGTCTCCTGAAACGGCTACAGCTGGCCCTGAACTCTTATCACTAAGAAAAATCCCTGAATGGGGGTTGTGGAGGGGGGAGAGGGACAGACTAAAAAGAACAGTCTAAAAATTAAACCTGGAGTTACACGTCATAAGAAGCAACATACTGAAATTTCTCAGGCAGCCTTGAAGGTAAGCCGATAGGGGCATTAAAGTCATACTCATTTTGCTACAGATTTTTTTTTTTTTAATGTGATTATAGACTGTAGTACCCAGTTTTTTGGTCTCCCTTTTACCGTCAAGGGGCTCTTTCTCTCTCCCTACATTACTCGAGAAGAGACAGCAATTATGGTCATATAGGCAAGCTGCAAGCACACCCTGTAAAATACCCCCAATCCAGTCAAGAGCCAGTATCAGCTGCTACACACG